GCAGGGGTGATAGTTAAGGCTATTCCCTCACTTCCTAATTACACTTTGCTCACTTCCTTTGAGTCTTTACCTAAAACTCACCTTCTCAGTGAGGCCTTCCCAGTCCTCCCTATCCAAAATTTCCTTCCTTCCTTCAACATTTGATATCTTCTCTTCCTCATTTATTTTTTCTCCTTAGCATTTGCCACTAGCAAATACATCGTGTAATTTGAGTTATTTATTTTGTTTATTGACTCTCTCCCACACTGGTGTATGAACTTCTTGGACCAGAATTTTTGTGTCCTCTGTTCTTACTACATCTACAGGGCTTAGGACAGTCCCTGGGACATAGTAAGTTTTAAAACTATGATATGGTCAGTGAATGGATGATGACATTTTAAGTTTATTGAGCACCTACTGTATGCTAGATACTCTGTCATGTGCTAAGTGCCTCACGTAGATGGTTTTATTTTGTCCTCTGGCCCTTGCCCCCTGCAGTCTCTTCTGGTTATTATTCCATCTCAAGCATCGTTTCTCATGCACATGCCTTTAAAGAAGAGTCTGCATCTGATACTCTCAACTCACAGGCACTGCTCAGCCCGCTGCAGCCTCATTGCCGCTACCCTGCGCAGACTTCTCTGTGAGGTTTCCAGGGACTTCCTCACTGACAGATCAAGGCATGCATTTCTAGCCTTTATGTTACTGATCCTTTCAGTTCCATCATCAGTCATGATCCTTGCCTTCTGGACTCTTACCACTTGTGATGACACCCTCCTGGGTTTTTCTTTCTGGTTTTTTCTTCACTGTCTCCTTCACGAGCGCCTCTGTTAGGTCCCATCCCGTAAGTGCCAGTCACTCCAGCTTCTGTGTGCAGCTCGCTCTTCCTTGTTCCGTGTTTGCTCATAAAGACATCTCATCTTCTGGCTTCACCTACCCCTGATGCCAGTAGCACCCAGATCTCTCTCTCACCGTTTCCTGCTGTCTCTTGTGCATTTTGCGCTGCTGTTCCAAGGCTCTCACACTCAGTTTATTCAGAGCCTGGCCTTCCCTGTGACCTGCTTATGTGCGTGCCTGTGTTCGTGGCTTCAGTCGATGGCGCTGCCATTCACCCACCCATACAGGTTGCAAGCCTGGGGGTCACCCGTGACACCAGTTCCACCTGTGGGGTGGCCGTCTCGTCTGTCTCCTCCACTCCGTCCCCGTAGTGACTCCCTACCCAGGCTCTCACATTGTCAGCCCAGATCACTGTGCAGAAGCCTCTGTTTACCCTCCTCCTGCCCTGCTCAAATCCGCCCTCCACAGAGCAGCCAGAGAGCTCTCGCTGATGTGATCAGGGGCACTGATGGCAACTCCCCTCCCAGAGGACCTACTGTACTTCCCCCAGGGTTCTGACGCCTTGACCGAGAACTGCAGGCTGGTCCTGAAAGTGCACCTGCTCCGTGGTGAAAGTTTGTCACAAAGCTCCATCAGGGCAGAAGTCATTGGGAAGAGACACAGAGAGGAGAGAATCGCAGCCACCTGATATCAGCTGGGGCCTGATGTATATTACCAAGAAAAAAGCGTATAAGATGAAATAGCAAAACAGGCTAAAGAAACACGAGAGAATGATGCAGACAGAACTCAGGTGACGAGAAGAGTCAAGGGCAGGTCCCAGCTCAGTTTCACCTGTGGCGTTGCTGGAATTCACCAGCAGATGGGGACCAAAAATGTCCCTTTAGTTCTCCCAGATGTTTTTTTTTTAAGGCTTATTGTAAAATTTAGAAAATACAGAAGGTAGTAAAGGAAAAACCAA